AAAAAATAAAACTCAAACACAGGGGAACTCCAGAAAAAAACAATCAGGAACACCTAATCACCTCTCAACATAGGAATTCCCCAGGCAGTAACAAGCCACAGCTAGAAGCTGTCAGGCCATCAAATGCTAATCAAGTGGCCAATTGAAACATTCACACCTAGCTCCAACAGACGAGAGTTCTTTCTCCCACTTTGGACTTTCCACAGATATATAAACCCAGTTTTCCTGGTTTCCAACAGACCTCACAACCTCTGAGGATGCCTCTCACAAATGCAAGTGAAATGTCAGGAGAGAATGCTTCTAGAACAGTGGTTCTCAACCTTCCTAATGCCACGACCCCTTAGTACAGGTCCTCATGTTGTGGTGACCCCCAACCATAATGTTATTTTCGTTGCTACTTCACAACTGTAATTTTGCTGCTGTTATGAATGGTAATCTAAATATCTGATATGCAGGATGTATTTTCAGTCACTGGACCAAATTTGGCACAAATACCCAATACTCCCAAATTTGAATACTGGTGAGGTTGGGGGTGATTGATTTGGTCATTTGGTAATGCTGGAGTTGCTGGGATTTATAGTTCACCTAAAATCAAAGAGCCTTCTGAACTCCACCAATGATGGAACTGAATCAAACTGGGCACACAGAATTCCCATGACCAAGAGAAAATACTGGGAAGGCCTGGTGGACATTGACCTTGGGTTTTTTTGGAGTTGTAGTTCACCTACTTCCAAAGAACACTGTGGACTCAAGCAATGATGGATCTGGATCAAACCTGGCACAAATACTCAATATGCCCAAATGTGAACACTGGTAGAGTTTGGAGAAAATAGACCTTGCCATTTGGGAGTTGTAATTGTTGGGATTTATAGTTCACCCGCAATAAAATAGCATTCTGAACCCCACCGATAGAATTGGACCAAACTTTCCACACAGAACCCCCATGACCAATAGAAAATACTATATTTCTGATGGTCTTTGGCGACCCCTCTGACACCCCCTCGCAACCCCCATGGGGGTCCCGACCCCCAGGTTGAGAAACACTGTTCTAGAACATGGCCATAGAGCCCAAAAAACCTACAACAATCCATTGGCTCTACTAGTTCACATCAAAAAAAAAGGATATGCTAAAATAAATCAGTCCCAAATGTGCACAAAGATGATTTCCCCCACTTTTCTGTTCTTTTATTACCTCCCTTGCCCCCTTCCAATCCACTTCTCTTAAGACTTTGAAACTCTGAGTGATGTGGCATTGCAATTTTTTGCCACATGAGTGTGCTGTTTCCACTTATGGCACAAAAGAAGCCAGCACAGACATAGTTTCAGACTGGGGAGGAGGATCTGGCTTGGAACTTGGTGGCAGGAGAAAGCATTGTGCTTCCATTCTCCCTTTACTGAATTCCCAAACTTGATAGCTTTTTTCTGCTGTTCTCAAGGTTTAAAATAAGTGGTCTCTATCTCACTACAAGGAGTGCAGGCGGAGTATCCCTCATTCAGAATGCTTGGGACCAGGAGTGTTCTGGAGTTGGGATTTTGGGATACCTGTACAGTATCGCAGATGCATACATAAAGAGAGGTCTTTGAGATGGGATCCAAATATTTTAAAGTGTACTTATGACCTTAACATATGCCTCTGGTCCGGTTTATATGAAGGATCACATTCTCCCCAATGAACCTGCCTCCTGAGATCTATTTGGGAGATCTTCCTCTCTGCCACTCAAGCTATGACAGAAACATTGTGTTTCGTGGTCTTCTGTCCTCTCATGCCCCACTTACCTGAAGCTATAATGATGATGATGATGTTGCACGTGCTCTTTTTCAGCCAAATCTCAGGTGTGAATTAATTACAAAATTTTGGAAACCAAGGAGCAATTTAAGGGGTTGGATATGTTTAGCCCGGATGAGAGAAGATTAAGAGGTGACATAATAGCCACATTAAAAATGTTTAAAGATGTCATCTTAATGAGGGAGAAATCTTGTTTTCTGATACGGTGGAGATTATTAACTTTGAATATGTTTTAATATTTTTAACTTCTTAGATTTAATTCTGTTTTAATATTTGCTTATTTGTATATTTTAAATTGTATAAAAGGTAAAGGTAAATGTCTTAAATATTTAAATACCATTTAAATATTTTAAATTGTATGCTAATGTTTTTATGTTAAGCCACTTTAAGTCTTCTTCGGAAGGGATAAATTATTTATTTATTTACAGTATTTATATTCTGCCCTTCTCACCACACAGGGGACTCAGGGTGGATTACAACGTGCATATACATGGCAAACATTTAATGTCATAGACACACAACATATATAGGCAGACACACAGAGGCTATTTAACATTCCAGCTTCGTGAGGGTATTCTGGCCACCAGGAGAGCTGTTGCTTCACTGTCCCATTTGTGACACTGATGGAGTACTTCCTCATTCTTTTGCTTGCTTGCTGGAGATTTTATAGCATTGTAAATAAATTAAATTAGCCTCCCCGCATAAGCGGTACCTAAATTTCCTACTTGACAAATGCAATTGTCTTTCGGGCTGCAAAGGTCGACAGCAAACTACACAGATGGTCGGAAGCTCACTCCGACCCGGGCTGACTTTGAACTCGACCTTTCGGTTAGTAGTGATCTTAATGCAGCTGACTCCCAGCCAGCTGCACCACAGTGGGTTATACATTATTATGATTATACAGAACTATGGATTCAAATCAAAAGAAAAAAGGTTCCATCCAAACCTTAGGAAGAACCTCCTGACTATGAGAGGCTTTTGACAGTAGAAGATGTTTCTGCCTGGAAGACCAATAGAGTCTTCCTTCTCTGGAAGGATGGTTATCTGTTGTGAATGCTTGTATTTCATGTTCCTCTATGGAGGAATGGAGTTTGTCTAGATGGCCCCTGGGGTTTTTACTATAGCTCTATGACTATAGCATTATTTGGAGGGCTCCAAAGAAATATCCCTATGGAAGCAAGAATCTTGGGATCCTCATGGGAAACATGCCTCCACAAGACAACATCTCCTTCTGTTTGTGTTTCAGAAGCTGTATCCGGAGAGGAAAAGAAGATATTTAGCTTAGAGGAGAAATCCAAGACCTCCCGGAAACGGGTTCATTACATGAAATTTGCCAAAGGTAAGGCGAAGGTAACTGATATGAAGCAAAGGCAAAAAAAAAATTGATCCTGCACCCTTATGCTCTTGGTTCTTTACTCATGCAAGTTTTTTGGACCAAATAGAAATATGGCTATCAAATAGAAATCATGACTCCAAACTAAAGTTTTGGAGTCATGCTTGATCTTGTGCAAAGTGCATTTCTCTTGGTGTAGTTGATGCCATTTCTGACATGGCGACCCTTACTGGATTCGTTCAGAGGGGTTTGCTTTGCCTTCATTTGATGTTGATAGAGTGCTTTGCCCAAGGTCATCACAGATGGGTAGGGATTTGAACCTTGGTCTCCCAACCTAACACTCAAATCAGTACACCAGGCTGGCTGCCTGTTTTAATTTGTATTACTGTATATACTCGAGTATAAGCCTAGTTTTTCAGTCCTTTTTTTAGGCTGGAAAAGTCTCCCCCGGCTTATACTCAAGTCAATATTATTATTATTTTATTTTATTTTATTATTTTATTGTTGTTATTATTATATTTATTATTTTAGTCTATTATTGTTACATTTATTATTTACTGTATTGTTATTATTACATTTATAGTTTTACTCTATTATTATTGGAGAACATGTAAGCATATTTACATTGAAGAAGGTTAGAATAATGGTTTAATCAGAGTTGGACAGTCTTCTCTTGAATTACAGTTTTATGTAAATATTCAAAAACATTTAACCTACTAATGCCTATATAATTTTATTGGTATCTATTTTTATTTTGAAATTTATCAGTAACTCCTGCATTTCCCACCTTCGGCTTATACTCAAGTCAATACATTTTCCCAGTTTTTTGTGGTAAAATTAGGTACCTCGGCTTATATTCGGGTTGGCTTATACTCGAGTATATACGGTAACTACTTAAGTGTTAAATAGTGTAACATGATTTTAACCTTTAAATAAAGTTTTGATTTTTTTTTTTTGCCACGTTTGATATTGTTCTGTGTCTTCAAATAATTTCTATCTTATGGCAGCCCAAAGACATTCTTAGCATGAGTTTTCCTTGGCAGAATTTGTCCAGAGAGAGTAATTTGTGCAGGTTCACCCATTGGGTTTCCATGGCCAAACAGATCTCCCAGTGTCCTTGTCCAGTGCTCAAACCACTATAACACACCAGTTCTCGTTGCACAATTTTAAGTGTTGTGGTTAAATTCATAACTTAACTTGGACCTTTTTAAATTGGAAAAATCTGCCAGGTCATGGCTTAGCAAATAGAAAAACAGGATAGCCTTATGGTACTTATAATAATAATATTTATTATTTATTTATTTATTAATTATTTATTTACAGCATTTATATACCGTTTTTCTCATCCCTAGGGGGACTCAAAGTGGTTTACACATAGATAATGGCAAATAATCAATGCCTTACAACTACAGTATTAAAACCATACTTTAAACATAAGTCATATTAAAAACAGTACATCATCAAATATCCAAACAGTTATTAAAACCATAAAATAATCTCATCAGTCGAGTTGCCGTTCCAGTCCTTGTCCCACTAAAAGCTGCATACATCTATTGTCCGAAGGCCTGGTCCCAGAACCATGATTTTAATTTTTTTCTAAAGGTCAGGAGCGAGGGAGCAGATCTCACCTCCTTTGGGAGTGTGTTCCATAGGCAGGGGGCCACAGCCGAGAAGGCCCTGCTCCTCATCCCCACGAGCTGCATTTGCGCTGTTGATGGGAGTGAGAGCAGGGCCTCCTCAGATGATCTTAAATTGCGAGGTGGGACGTAGGGACAGATGCATTCGGACAAGTAAGCTGGGCCTGAACCGTATAGAGCTTTATAGGTCAAAACCAGCACTTTGAATTGGGCTCGGAGATGGACTGGCAGCCAGTGGAGCTGGCATAACAGGGGGTGGTATGCTCCCTGTATGCCACCCTAGTTAGTAATCTGATAAAACATAACTAATAATAATAATCTTTATTTATACCCGCCACCATCTCCCCAACGGGGACACGGGACGGCTTACATGAGGCCAAGCCCAAACAACAAAATACAATAAAATAAGATACAAAATGCAATAAAATAAACAACATAGCATTAAAATATAAAACATATAAGCATATAAACAATATACACAAAACATAAAGAGAAGAAAAAAAACCTGTAAACCAAACATAATGACAGTGAGTGGGCCGCATGTACATAAAATGATTTAAAAACTCAGGGTGAGATAAAGGAGCAGGATTGTTTGTAAGGGAGAAATCATAGAGAGACAGGGAAATAATCGGAAATACTTTTCCCCTTGGAGAAAACAGGTTAAATACTGCAAAATGTGCATCAAGCAAAATAGCATATCTGTATTCCAAAGCACTGAATTTTTACGCTTGATTTAGGCAGCAAAAGAAGAACAAAATAGTTTCCTCTGTAATGCCCCACTGAAATTAGTGGGATTGTCACAAAAGTCTTAACTCTCTTTACCATCATGCTGGAGAGAGTTACCATCCCTCTGTGTGTGTGTGTGTGTTCTCCACTTATTTCCCACTGTTCCTGTTTGTTTCCCCTCTCTGTAGGTAAAGACCTCTCTTCCCGAAGTGAAGATGACCTGTCCTGCATTTTTGGGAAACGTCAGATTAAAAAGAAACAGGTAAGAGATTAATCTTATCACATCCTCTATTGAAAGTGCCTATTTTAATCATAAAGAATATCTCACTGTGGGAACTTTTATCCTACTGCTTCTTGATTTTTGTTCATCTGAGTGTTATACGCTATGTCTCCCAAAAGTCAATGGCCAGGCAATTCTTGGAGCTGAATTCCCCAACATCTGGAGAAGCTGAGTTTGAGAATCCCTATTTATACTACAGAATTGCAACACTTTGATGCCACTTTTCCTGCTATAGATCCATTTTACAGAATTCTGGGCTTTGTAGCTTTGTGAGGTATTTAGTATTCTTTCTAGAAAGCACTAGTTTCTCAATAAACTAACAACCCCAAGGGATTTTTAAGGAGATGTTTGTGACAGAGTTGAGTGTTGGACTACGACTCCAGAGACCAGGGTTCGATTCTCTCCTTGGCTATGAAAGCCCAGTGTGGGATTCTGTGTGAGCCACACACTCTCAGCCCCAGAAAACTCTTTGATAGCTCTGCCTTAGTGTTGCCGTAACTTGGAAATGGCATGAAGGCACATAACAACATGTTGATTTAAAGTGGTGTTAAAGTGCTACATTCATTCCATCTCTTTTTATCCTATTGTCGAATAGTCAGCTTAGACTGCAACCTTGTAAGCATTTTCTCAAAGAAGGCCAATGAAGTAAATAGACTTTGCTTCGGAATACGAAGAATATACAGAAAGTAAGGTTACAAGATGAAGTACTTTGGCCTCATCATGAGAAGAAAGGAAAACTTAGAGAGGACAATTATGCTGGGTAAAATGGAAGGTAAAAGGAAGAGGGGCCGACCAAGGGCAAGATGGATGGATGGTATTCTTGAAGTGACTGGATTGACCTTGAAGGAGCTGGGGGTGGTGACAGCCGACAGGGAGCTCTGGCGTGGACTGGTCCATGAAGTCACGAAGAGTCGGAAACAACTGAACGAATGAACAACAACAACAAAGGGTTACAAGATTTTTTAAAAAATAAAAAGAAGGAATATATTTTAATAAAATGTACATGGATTGTAGTGTAGGTTTTACATTATTTTTCCTCATAATCACAATTCAGTTCAATATATTTTGTCATCTGTGGGACGGGTTTTTGATGCCTGCGTCATAGAAGTCTCCTTCTGCCTTTTTCAACCAGTTTGCCACTTCGATTTTTACCTTGTCGTTGTCAGAAAAGTGTTTTTCACCCAGGTAGTCCTTCAATTTAGTGAACAGATGATAGTCATTGGGTGCAAGATCGGGGCTGTGATTGGGTGGCTTAAAACATCCCAACCAAATGAAGTTAACAACTCTTATGTTGCATGAGCGGTGTGCGGACATGTATTGTCATGAACGAGACAAACAGGAGGGAAACGGAATGAGGACACTAATCTCTAAGCTTCACCACAACGCCAGTCGATGAGCAACTGACGACTGGCACTGCTTGTTCGCTTCTGCTGGCTTCCCACTACATGGCAGTGATACCAACTTCCTCTACAAAAATCCTCCCCACGAAAGCTACATGCCTTGTAACCTTACTTTCTGGATAGATAAGTGTTTGGTTGCACGGTTATCCTGGATTTTACATAAACAATTTTAAACCAACACCTTCCTTTATGCATCCGTTTTAACTTGATGTGGTTTCGTATCATTAAAACTATATGTCCTATTTTTTCTGTATTAATTCTGAGAAGGAGGCAGGGAAATGATGGTTGAATCAGGTTCTCTCCCAGAGAATTTGAGGCCTTTACTTTACACCTACGGATGTGAGAGCTGGACCATAGGGAAGGCTGAGCGAAGGAAGATAGATGCTTCTGAACTGTGGTGCTGGAGGAAAGTTCTGAGAGTGCCTTGCACTGCGAGAAGATCCAACCAGTCCATCCTCCAGGAAATAAAGCCTGAACAAATGAACAACAACAACAAACTTGCCTGAAACTAAAAACCAACCAAGTAGGACCAAAGAGAGTAGGAAGGGAATTTGAACCAAGAGATCACTTTCTTGGCTTTCTGTCAAGTTATCAGAGATGTAACTTTTTTTAGGATAAAATTTGAGCTACTGTTGATGAAACATGGCATCATTTCAGACATTGCAATGACAAGACAGCTATTGAAATTACCTCTAGTTGAGAACTAGCCTAGATATCTAGGCCACATTGTTGATTTGGTGATCATTTCTCTTTAAAGCATTATCCTGCGTTTTGTCTGCTGCCTCATTTACATTGTATGAATCTTCAACCAAAGGCATTTGGAAACCAGTTGCAGGGGGGTTGTTGTTGCAGTGTTTTTAAGGTGTGTGAGACAGAGCTGGGAATCTCAGTGATTGAATTATTTCCTGTAAATCCCTCTCGCAAGGTGTGGTGATGGCTGGCGATTTACATACTGTAGATTTCACAGGTAATTAGACAATTTGCACATGCAGGAGGGAGCTATCTGTGGCCATTAGTCCCAGCGACTAGGGCTACACCACAATGCGGAACTGGGGAATGCTCTCATTTGTTCAGGATTCCAGCCGTGCCCTTTTCTCAGGGATTCGGTTTCGTATTTTACCAACCCCAACAGTAGCACACAGCACCCTGAGGCCTTAGAAGGAGGCAACAAATTAGGTTCTTGTGGGGTTTTTTCGGGCTATAGAGCCATGTTCCAGAGGCATTTCTCCTGACGTTTCGCCTGCATCTATGGCAAGCATCCTCAGAGGTAGTGAGGTAACAAATTCCCAGAGTTGTAAACCGTAATCCAAAATTAATATTTCACTCTTATCTTTACTCCAGTTACACTATGTAATACAATTTTTGTCAATGTCATTTCCTAATTAGTTTTAGCCTAAAAACATGGGAAAAGTTTATTAAAGTGCAAAAACATTGCTTTTGTGAGACCTCTTGGAGCATATTTTGCTCTAGTTTTTCAATGAACAACTCATCGCATCTCAACCAATTCAACGTAATTTGTGGCAGCCCCAAAAACAAAGTTTCTGGAGTATGGCAGCTACTTTCAAAGTCCACACAATTAAACAGGAATAACACTTTCAAACCAGGAACAGAAAATTTTGTTAAATAGTGTTAGCAAAGAATCATATTTATTTATTTATCATGTCAGAAGCAAATTGAGGGTATCTGTGCAATGTATTTAAAAACCACAAACAAAATTTAAAAACTTGGCATTATACTAAATCTCCTTTGGCCAGTAGCTGGCCTCTGGTTAAAGGAGCGCCTCTTGTGTTGTTATAAGAACTGGTCCTCCATTGTGCATGTGGCAGGGCTCAGATTGCATTGTAGTAGGTGGTCTGTGGTTTGCTCTTCTCCACACTTTTATGTCATGGACTCCACTTTGTGGCCCCATTTCTAAAGATTGGCTCTGCATCTTGTGGTGCCAGAGTGCATCCTGTTCAGCGCCTTCCAAATCACCCCATCTTCTGTGTAAAAAATAAACATCACGATAAAAACATGACAATACAATAAAATCAATACAGAACAAATACAATGCAAAATTAATCCCAAGTGCGGGCCACCTGTACAAGTTAAAAACATAAAAATTCAGGATATTTATTTATCGTGTCAGGCAACTGAACAGTTATATTACATTTTTGACAGAACAAACAAACAAACATACAAAAGACACAGAGTTTGCAAGCTTGGTAGTTGATTACATGTCCTTTGACCAGTATCTGGCCACTTGGAGTGCCTCTGGTGTTGCCGCAAGAAGGTCCTCCCTTGTGCATGTAGCAGGGCTCAGGTTGCACCGCAGCAGATGGTCTGTAGTTTGCTCTTCTCCACACTCGCATGTCGTGGATTCCACTTTGTAGCCCCATTTCTGAAGGTTGGCTCTGAATCTCGTGGTGCCAGAGCGCAGTCTGTTCAACGCCTTCCAAGTTGCCCAGTTTTATGTGTGCCCAGGATGAGCTGTGGGTTAAAAAGAAATGTTTGTATGGGAAAAGTTCATAGGCTTCAAACTACAGGAAAGGAGATTCCACCTGAACATTAAGAAGAACTTCCTCACTGTGAGGGATGTTCAACAGTGGAACTCTCTGCCCAAGAGTGTGGTGAAGGCTCCTTCTTTGGAGGCTTTTAAACAGAGGCTGGATAGCCATCTCTTGGGGGTGCTTTGAATGCGATTTTCTTGCTTCTGGCAGGGGGTTGGACTGGATGGCCCATGAGGTCTGTTCCAACTCTAGGATTCTAGGATTCTTGGGATATGTGTCTTGGCCTGTTGTGGTTTCCCTTGTTTTAGAAGGTTGACCCTAAAAGCAACAGCTGGGCTTTAAAATCCTTCAGCTTGTCAGTGTTGTGCTTGGAAGAGCACGGAAACGTTGGAGCAGAGTGTCCTTGTATCTCTTCCTCCCAAGATAGGAGGATTCCTGGTGTCTATCAGGACTTTTGCTGTAGAAACTACGTTGGTTGATTTCTTTTGTGGCGCTCCCACTTGCCCCAGGTATATCAAGCCAAGATGATATTCCTTGTCCACACAATCCTGGTTCCTTAAACAACTCTCCTCCCCATCCATTGCTCTGATGTTTTTGTGGCCTCTAGAGATCGCTCTTCCCTCTTCTTCCCGTTTGCTTATCCAGTAGCTGCTTGGCCGATTACATAACAGCACAAGAGAAAATACCCTCGGCTATCTTTTCCCAAGTCCGGAGGGATGCATGTCAACGTTTACCCTAACCAGCCCTGCTTTGTTTATGCTCCAGAGTTTAGCAGAAGGGCTGATTATGAAGAATGAGTTTTCTCCTCCTTCACCAAGAGAGCTTGTATTCTGGGAAATTTACACCTGTGAGGCAGGTGAGGAACCTGCGCCCCTTCTGGGCTTCCAGTTTCCCAGAGGGCTGTCCTCCCTTCCCGATGCCACTGCGATTGGGTGGCTTCCCAGTTCTTCTATGTTTTCATACCTTTCCTATTCTAAAAGATTGGGATGCCTACCCTGAGGATATTACCAGTCCAAACGCATCTCCTTCTATGAACCATCACAGAGGTTAAGATCTTCTGAGGAGGCTCTGCTCTTGGTCCCACCACCTTTGC